TTTCACATAGGGCTCGATTCAAATCATGATTTCTGAAAGCTAGAGAATTTGAAATGGGAAAATGTCCTGTGGGCTGCATCAGCTACGCAGCTGCTTCTAATTAAAGCTTCTCCTTTACTCTCCCTGGGCTACTTTCCAGCACAAATACTTTAGTCAGAACTCAACCCTTTTTTTTCCCTCCTCTTTTCAGCTCCAGTCTGCATCTGCCTTAACGCAGGCTCTCGTGGAGCTGCACAAGAGACGTAAAAGCAAAATGCAGGTATCTATCCCGGTCTGAAGCACCCATGTATGCACAAAGCTACGCTCGCTCCAACAGGCTACTGCTACCAGAACACACAAGACGCACAAAAGTTGCGGGTTTGGGGTTCTTGTGCCACAAAACTACATTGAAGTTTCTTCCCAAAATGGAGGTTTTTGGAAGTCTTTTGAAAAACGTGTCTGTTCTACTGGAAAGACCTCCTCTGCTGCCATGCTGCATTTGCCTGGGCACATTCCTCAGGAGAGCCTACTTAAATGCATTTTAATACCCTGCTTTAACCAGTCTTCTCAATGTTTGATTTTCATGGGAGTTTCCTATTCAGGCCCACTGATATCATCTGGAGATGCACAGAAGGAAGCAGATGGTTCTAATTTGAGACGCGCGGGGAAGAATTTCCTCCTAGTCTCGCTTCTCCCCCCAGCCCCGGGGCTCCCTTTGCTTCGATTGGAAAATGCTTCGATGAAGAAAAAGAACCAACGCAGCCCGATGACTAACGTGAGAAGGGTCTCGACTCTTCTGCTGCAGATTTTAACCAGACTTCCTTCTGGCTGCCGGCTGGCAACTCCCACACCTACACCTCCTCTCGGGAGGCAGAACAGGATTCTCTGGTTCTGTCTTTTCGAGCCCTTCCTTCCCATGTCTCAAGGCTCCCGCTCGTGCGTCATGCGTCCGTGCAAACTGCGGGATGGGACGGCCCTGCTCCCGCTTTTAAAGCTGGACCCGACTGCAGTTTCTGACGCTGCAGGGGCAGCAACTAAAGTTTGGAAGGTCAAGATTTCAAGCATTTTTTGGCCACCCGAGCCCTGGACAGTTTCTGGTCTGAACACATCAGCCACCCTAGAAAATTCCAAGCAAGTGACTCAAATTGCTACTCGCTAACCCCAGTCTAGAGAGGTGCGTACGTTCCCTCTTCTCCTCTGCCCCATCTCTAGGGTCTTCTCTGAACTTTTGGAAGGAAAAAGGAGACGGAAAAGGGCAGCTCATTCTCAGAATGGGAGAAGTTTTCCACTTGTGCATTAAGCTTCTTCAGGAACACACTCATTCTGCTGCAAGGCCGCCGATGGATATTCCCCACTGACTGATCTGGGACCAAATAGTCCCTCGAGATAGATCCTGAGAAGATATCCAGAGCACTTTCTGAAGCAGTTTTGCAAGCCCAGCTCTTGCCTTCAGACTTGTAAGTCCTCAAAAATGAACTCCAAGATCTAAGAAGACCCAGCTGCAGAGAAAGGTAGGACAAAATCCTTGGAAGAGGGCTGCAGTTGCAAAACAGGGTCAGCAGTCCCATATTGCTGCTGCTTTGAGTCAGCAGGTTTAGAGGCAGTCCTGCTACCAATCCGCACTTGAGAGAGGAAAAATTACATCGGGCAAATTAAAAGTCTTCAGAAAAGGTGAGAAGGAGGGGCACAGGAGCACACGAGCGGCACGGAGCACCCCTGGGCACAGGAGATGCCCGGAGGGGACGGTCCCCCCGGCTGCCGCAGCAGCCCCGTGCCCGAGGGAGCCCAGGGCTGCTACGGCACAGCGGGAGCCCATACATGCACCGTGTCACAGCAGGGCTTGGGCTCCCTGGGGTCACGCAACATGCAACACTCCCAAGGTCAAAAATTCAACCTAGAAGCCCTTAAAGCTTGAGCAGTAGCAAGGGCCGAGCCTGGGAGCACCGCCGCCCCGTCGGCCTTGTTGCTTCTGCCTCTGTCCCTGGCACCGTCTTGTTCCTGCTCCCTGTCGCTGGGAATGCTGGAGGGAAGTGTGGAAAGGTGCCCAGCTGA